ATATCTGAGATCCAGAGAAGTTAAAGGTCCGGATTAGTTCCTCTGGATCCTGACTGAAGGACCGTTTTCACCGTGGACTCTGGTGTGTTTGTAGGAAACCATGAAGCTGCCGTTCATGTCGACAAAGTTTGGACCAAATGAAGGTGATGAGATTTAGAAGATCGAGGATGACATTTCCTTTAGAGCGAGAAAAACAATCAAAGATAAAAACCTACACGACATTTCCCAGGAGGTGGAGCGCTTTAACTCGTCTTTATCTGAACCCGGTTTACTCTCAGAAACAAAAATAAACAGAGAAGGTCCGATCTCTGAGAGGGTTGACCTGAAAACGTCCCAGAGTGAGCGAGACATACAGTCCAACATCTGAACCGGGTCTGTTCCGGTCCAAACCCGTCATCATGCTGGTTTATCATTTCTCAGATTAAATTAGACTGAATGAGTTATTCAGGACTCCATGATTGACAGCTCTGTCCCCCCACACACACACTCACACACACACACACAGATAAGACAGTCTAAAGCAGTGACTCAGACCTCGGTGTTCAACAGTCGGGCAGCAGAGCAGGTTGTTCAGACACGACTGCACATTAACATCTTGGTCCTAATTAATTATTTCCTATCAGAGCTGCAGATCGCAGCAGCTGTTGAACACTGTGAAATGTCCCTTTAATCACATCAAAACACCACCCCCCCCCCTCTCATTCCCGCAGAGCTGAAGCGTGACGGTGTTGTGAGCGTTTTAACACCATTAATGCTTCAACAGCAATCTGAGCGATTAAACAATCAGACAAATGGAGCAGATCAAATCTAGAGAGCTACTTAGCTGCTGCTGCTGCTGCTGATTAGAGGAGCGGGATTTACCAGAGGCTCCAGATGTTTGGAGATCATCAGCTGGACCAGAGCAGAGACCGGTCCAGACAAGACCCAGTCACTGTGGAGTCATGTGAGTCCACCACAGTCAGAGCTGGGGTCAAAGCTAAGGGGACAGATTCGTCTCAAAATGATCTTCAGATGTTTTTCAGATCCACAAATATATACTCTCAGTTTTTAACGTCTGTGTTTGACTTTTCATCTTAATTAGCATGAGCAAACTTCTGATGGTCGTTGATGAAAGGGTGAAGTACGTTTCAAACCTCCTCTCCATCAAAGTTAGTGTGACTAACCCTTCCTCACTGCCGGGGACACAACAGTGCACAACGGTGCTGCACTCATTACTGTTTTAATTACTAATGCCTCATTACTAATCTTTGATTATTATTATTATTTTTTATTTTTTTTTTATTTTTTTTAAATTTTAAAATTTCTGTTTGAAAAAAATTTGCATCTGAAAACGAACCATCGCTGAGAGGAGTGAGAGTCTGAGTGTGAAATAAAACATGTTACAGTCAGTCACGGCATATTAAAGTAGAGAACATCATATTACAGTAGACTACAAAGCAAAGCCTGGTCCACTCTCTCTCTCTCTCTCTCTCTCTCTCTCTCTTTCTCTCTCTTTCTCTCTCTCTCACACACACACACACTCATTAAGGTGTACTTGTGTGTGCTCAGAACTTCATTACTTACACTTGTCTTGTCGGGGTCGTCAGCTGACCCCACAGAGTCCGTCTCCATGTTGTGCCAACGCCTCCAACGGGGCGGAGCCACTGACCCTAACCCCCCCAGGACCCCCCCCCCCCCCAACACCACCACCTCACCCCCCTTACCTCAGGGGAGCTGTGGGTGAACAGCTGGTGGGGGCATCAAGGGGGACCTCGTCCCTGCCCAGCTAACTCACACACACACACACACACACACACACACACACACACACACACACACACACACACACACTCACACACACACACACACACACACAGGGGAGTATGTCCTCCCCTTTTCTTTGATCTTGTGTGGCTCAACATGGGGTCCTGGACCTCCAGGGGTCCTTGAAGAGCTTGTAGGGGGTCATTGATGGATGTGGGGACTCTGTAGACCTTCTGCAGACTCTGTTCTGGTTTGAGATGAAACGGAAAACTTTCTCAGGTGCTTCAGTGACCTTTGTTGACCTTCGTTGACCTTCAGGGTCTCTCAGGTAAACCCAGAAAAGTCTCGTTCTACTCTTCAGGCAGACTGAGGGGTTGAAGGACCGCTGTGGTCTTGGATCTGGGATCTGGACCTACCCCTGGCTCTCCTCCCAGATGGACGTTCCTGGAGCTCCTCCACAGGGAGGTGTCCTGATCACATGTGTGGACCACCTGAGCTGACTCCTTTGGATGTGAAGGACCACGTCCCTGATGGAACATAAAAACCAGGTCCTCTGTGACAGTCAGGGACCTGGTCTGAGGTGGGTCAGAGGTTCTGTGAAACCTCCATCTCCAGACTCAGTCCTCCTCCAGGTGTTGGAACTCCTGTCTGGACGTCTGACTCTGTGGAGCTCAGATCTGGACCCTGAAAAACTTGGAAACAGAGTTTTGAGAGTCTTTGTGGACCTGTACTGGTCTGTGCTGGTCTGTGCTGGTCTGTGCTGGTCTGTGCTGGTCTGTACTGGTCTGTGCTGGTCTTTGCTGGTCTGTTCTGGTCCTCTCTGGTTGAAGGAAATTCTCAGACCAGAATGGTCTGATCTGGTCTGGTAGGGGGGGTTATCTTCCCCCTCCTCCCTCTCTGTAGCCCCCCCCCCCCCCCGTCCTCGCTGCCAGCCGGGCGGCGGCGTGGAGGGCAGCGGGGGCACAGAGGAGCCGGGTGCTGCCTGATGGCGGTCAGGACGGACGCACTCGGCTACAGATGTGATGCCAGCTTTTGTCGGGGGTCACCTTGGAGAGGCCGATGGCAGCATGCCCCCCCGCCTCACCCCCCAGCAGTACAGCTGGCTCCCTGCTTAATCCGCCACAGGAGGGGGAGGGGGGCAGGAGGCCTTACATGCTCTTTACATCCATTCACTGAGAGACATGAAGAACCAGAACCTGGGGGGGTCCTGCAGATCCAGATTTGACTTTGGATAAAGGAGACCAGGAGGACCTTCATCGGTGGACCATCTTAAGTCCTGATCCAGCACTCACTAAGGGGTACAGGGACCATGAAGGCCCACGGCACACCTGGGACAGCGAGCGCGGTCGCAGCGAGGGCTCTCCGACTGTCTGCCGTGTCGGCCGCTGCTTACAGAGTGCGTGCGGCGGGCGCTGCGAACACATAGTAGTATTGATACCGTGACATATTAGTATCATATCGGGATACGGCGTGTCAGTATCAGTTCTTTGACAACACTGGTACCAAGAGTCTTTGGTTCTGGGTCTTAAAGGTCTGACTAAACCTCGTTCTTCTCATCATCACCTCAGGATGGAGAGAAGACGTCTGTTTGACTCACGGCTGAACTAAAACCTCCAGTTTGACGTTTGTCTCCCTCCAGCTGAGGGACCGGAGACCTCAGATCTTCAGAGTTTTCACATCCATCTGAAGATCTTCACAGAATCATCGTCGTCAAACTCTCCTGAGTTTCTCCTCCGACAAACAAAAATGTTTTTTCATCGATTCGACATTTTCACAAATCAACTTTAACAAACTGGATCCTGATAATCAGACCAACATCTGCGCTCCTCATCCTCTACTTCCCCTCACTCCTCCTCCTCTCCTCACTCCTTTCCTTGCTCCTCTCCTCACCTCCTGCTCAGACTTTACCTTCAAACGGACGACTCTGGTTTCAGGACTGAGTGTGTGTGTGTTTTTACAGACACAACACACACACACACACACACACACACACACACACACACACACACACACACACTCCTGTGAGTGACAGGTGACGACGGGCGCTCAGGGACTTTCTCCAAACAGACCGACTCGTCCACTCCCGGGACCTTTGACCCCTGACTCTGTGTGTCAGGCTTACAGAGAGGATGACATCATCAGTGTTAACCCTTCGAAGGAATTCATGTGTTCATGAGTGAAACCATGAGGTTAATGGGGGGGGGTGAAAACAGCTCTGTGTGTTGAAAGATGGCGGCGTTGTGATCGTGGATCCTGATTGGCTGCAGTCTGACCTGGTTGTTCGGTTTGTTTTCTGATCAGAGGTTAGTCGTCTTTTCTTCCTGCTGGACATTTTGGACCGTGAGCCCCGCCTCACCCTGCCTCACCCTGCCTCACCCTGCCTCACCCCCCCCTCTGAAGTGGTGTCGGGTAGACGCTGTTATAGCTCTGCAATAGATACCTCCTCACCTGCTCCTTCCCTGGACCCCTGCTGAGAGCAAGCTGTTGTTCTGTAGGCCCTCCCCCCGCGCTCCCCTCACCCCTCCTCACCCTGAACACACCTGTCCACCCCCCCACCCCCCCAGACCCCCTCTCCCCTCTGCAGACCTGCCTCTGCTGCTTCAATAATTAACAGAGTCTCAGTAGAAGGGAAATGAAACTCTCCTCTTATGTTTGTTTCAGCTCTTTCTCCGTCCTCCGTAAAAACAAACATCTGACTAACTAACCTTTAACTAATTCAACTTAACTAACCTTTTAACTAATGTAACTTAACTAATTTAACTTAACTAACATTTAACTAATTTAACTAATGAAACTCTCCTCTTATGTTTGTTTCAGCTCTTTCTCCGTCCTCCGTAAAAACAAACATCTGACTACTTTAACTAACCTTTAACTAATTCAACTTAACTAACCTTTTAACTAATGTAACTTAACTAATTTAACTTAACTAACATTTAACCAATTTAACTAATGAAACTCTCCTCTTATGTTTGTTTCAGCTCTTTCTCCGTCCGCCGTAAAAACAAACATCTGACTACTTTAACTAACCTTTAACTACTTTAACTTAACTAACCTTTTAACTAATGTAACTTAACTAATTTAACTTAACTAACATTTAACCAATTTAACTAATGAAACTCTCCTCTTATGTTTGTTTCAGCTCTTTCTCCGTCCTCCGTAAAAACAAACATCTGACTACTTTAACTAATGTAACTTAACTAACATTGAACTCGTCTCACTCTTTCATCCCGTCACCTTCACACTGTCTGGTTTTGTGTTTTTGTCACAGAGAATTCAGAGAAGAGGTTTTTTTTCTGTTTTTAAAACCGTTTCTGTATTTTTCTAAACTCTCTCCTGTTTTTCAGTTTTCTCTTAAATCCACTTTAATCCAAACGTTTGTCCTACACAGATAAATGTCCTCCTGTCCATCTCCTGTTCTTCGTCTCTTTGAATCAGTTCAGGTAGAATCGTAGGTCAGCGTGTCGTCTGCAGACAGACTGAATCCTCCGGGTTCCTCCTTTATTAGAGCTTCACTCACGTTTGTTCAGACAAGAGAGAGAAGGGAGCTGACAGAGTGTCTGTGTCTGTGAAAGTGTCTGTTAATGTGTCTGTGAAAGTGTCTGTGAAAGTGTCTGTTAGTGTGTCTGTTAGTGTGTCTGTGAAAGTGTCTGTTAGTGTGTTTGTGGAAGTGTCTGTGAAAGTGTCTGTGAAAGTGTCTGTAAGTGTGTCTGTGAAAGTGTCTGTTAATGTGTCTGTTAGTGTGTCTGTGAAAGTGTCTGTTAGTGTGTCTGTGAAAGTGTCTGTTAGTGTGTTTGTGGAAGTGTCTGTGAAAGTGTCTGTAAGTGTGTCTGTGAAAGTGTCTGTTAGTGTGTCTGTGAAAGTGTCTGTTAGTGTGTTTGTGGAAGTGTCTGTGAAAGTGTCTGTGAAAGTGTCTGTTAGTGTGTCTGTAAGTGTGTCTGTGAAAGTGTCTGTTAGTGTGTCTGTGAAAGTGTCTGTTAGTGTGTCTGTGAAAGTGTCTGTTAGTGTGTCTGTTAGTGTGTCTGTAAGTGTATCTTTAAAAGTGTCTGTAAGTGTGTCTGTGAAAGTGTAAGTGTGTCTGTTAGTGTGTCTGTTAGAGTGTCTGTTAGTGTGTCAGTAGCTCGGTCAGTAGCTGTGATTGGGTCTGGTCGGCTCGGGTTTCCTCTTCAGTCTAAAACTGAATGATCGGCGCTCCCTGTCTGTGAAAAGGTGAACACGATGAACTCAAACAAACTCTGAGTTTGTTTGAAAATCTTTGAAGGTGGAAAAATCTCGTTTCTTGGTTCCTGCGGAGGCTGAGAGCAGCACACATGTTTAAAGAGGGGGAGGAGGGGGAGGCTTTGGGGGAGCAGGTCTCATTGTTTGGTATCTCTGCAGGACTGTAGCTAATAAAACTAAACTGGGCCTGGGGGGAAGCGGCTGAACTTCCTGTAGCAGTGGTATTTATTTATTCGGAGGGTCCGTTTCAGGTCTCCAGAGTGGGCCGTAAACAAAGAGCCCTGCTCCTCCGTCCACATCGCCTCTTTGACTCTCATTTATTTATAATTCCCTCAAACCACTCTGAGATGCAACCCGATCGCTGCGAGCTTGTGAAAACGTCGCTTTTCCTCCAGATTCGCTCCAAAGGAAGTACTCCCCTGTCCCCCTTCTTCCCCTTCCTCCCCCGTTTAATTCCCGCCCTCGGCCACTCACGCAAATAAATACCTTTCTACTTAAACAGGCTAATGAATTTAGTCCATCTGGTCCTCGCCGCCATGACACACACCGCAGCCTGGGCTCCGGTTACACTGATAGAGGAGGAGGCAGCGCCTCACACGGGCTCCAGAACCAGAACTACCGGGACAGTCAGACTGCTCAGACTAAAGAAAGACAGGCAGCAAGAACCACAGGAGGTCAAAGGTCAAACCCGACGAGACTGAAAACACGATAAAACCAGATTTTAGATTTTCATCATGTTTCAGAGGAAAAGAAGGAGTTCTGCTCAAACGGATCCAGAACAGACTGATCCAGTTTCAGCTCCAGTTTTAGGTTCAGGTCCAGTTTGGTTCAGTTAGATGGTCTCTGGTCCCAGGGTGAGAGGAGGTTTAGGATCAGAGCAGGAGAGTCTGAGTGAATGACCAAAACAGACTAAAAAACAGCTGTTTTTAAAGGTCTCTGCTCAGGTTCAGTTTAAGTTCAGTTTAAGTTTGAGTTCAGTTTAAGTTAAGTTTGATTTTTAGTTCAGTTTAAGTTTAAGTTCAGTTTAAGTTTGAGTTCAGTTTAAGTTTAAGTTAAGTTTGATTTTTAGTTCAGTTTAAGTTTAAGTTCAGTTTAATTTTTAGTTCAGTTTAAGTTCAGTTTAAGTTTGAGTTCAGTTTAAGTTCAGTCTAAGTTCTGTTTAATTTTTAGTTCAGTTTAAGTTCAGTTTAAGTTCAGTTTAATTTTTAGTTCAGTTTAAGTTCAGTTTAAGTTTGAGTTCAGTTTAAGTTCAGTTTAATTTTTAGTTCAGTTTAAGTTTAAGTTCAGTTTAATTCTTAGTTAAGTTGAAGTTTAAGTTCAGTTTAAGTTTGAGTTCAGTTTAAGTTCAGTTTAATTTTTAGTTCAGTTTAAGTTTAAGTTCAGTTTAATTCTTAGTTAAGTTGAAGTTTAAGTTCAGTTTAAGTTTAAGTTCAGTTTAAGTTCAGTTTAATTCTTAGTTAAGTTGAAGTTTAAGTTCAGTTTAAGTTTAAGTTCAGTTTAAGTTTAAGTTCAGTTTAAGTTTAAGTTCAGACATGTTTGTTAAAGATCAAATCTTTGAACCCAGCGTTTCAGTTTAAGTTTAAGTTTAATTTTTAGTTCAGCGTCTGTTTCAGTTTCCTGTTTACAATAAATTACTGTCATTTCAGTCCGAAGACTTTGATTGATCAGGGTTAAATATCGGCTGTATTGATCCCTGATTGATTGGAATATTGATTATTGATTATCACTTAAGTGTCTAAACTCCAACAGGACCTGGTTTGAACTCTGAAAACATGGACTAAAACTGGTCAGTACATAATTCTGAGTCATCTGTGGGGGCGGAGCTTAAACCTGCTCTGATCACAGGTTCAGGTGTGTCATGTGACCCGATTCTCAAACAGCTGAGTGACAGCTGAAGGCGGCTCTCCAGAGGAAACACGCAGTTGCTGCTCGTTGCTGAAACATCTGGACGGCCCACAGAGGATTAGCCTCCCCCTCCTCCCCCTCCTGCCCCTCCTGCCCCCCCCCACCACCCCACCCCCACCCCCCCCCAATCCATTTATTTTGAAGAGTGAGCAGTCCATCCTTTCAAAATAAAATCCCCGTCTTTCTGAGAGGGTCAGTGTGGTCCATCATCATCGCTGTAGGTGGAGATACTTCCTCTGATTTAGTCTCAGTCAGAACTTCAGTGGAGATCCAACCGGACCAGAACTGTGGACCGTCTTTCAAAGGGACGGGAAGAAGATGGTGAAGATAGTTTGGTATCAGAGATCCTGAAGCAGGTCTGAGAAAACCACCTCAGACTGACCCAAGTTCAGCTGAGAAAACCTCAAGGTTTATCAAAGTCTGAACTCCCGTCCTGACCGAGGGGGGGGGGGCTCTGACCAATCAGACCTGGGCCACATGGTGTCCTGACAGTCCTGACGATCCTGAAGGTTCTGAAGGTCCTGAAGGTTCTGAAGGTCTGGTCAAACAGCTGCCGTCCCTCCAGGTTCTTGGTTCTTCTTCGTTGGTCTGAGGAGGATGAGGTTCCATGAGGACTGAGAATGGATCCATCATGTCGCTTTTGAAATCTCAGGAGGTGATGCCATGCTCTGCAGCTGTCAATCATTCTGCTGGTCGTGGTTAAATGGCGGCAGGTTGACCCGACTGCGTCGACGCCACATGTTAGCGAGAGCGCTGCCTTGTTGTTGTTGTGTGTCTCCAACGTTAGCCTGAAGCAGACAAACACACAGATTCCTGTCCACCTGCTGCAGCCAGGAGTGTGTGTGTGTGTGTGTGTGTGTGTGTGTGTGTGTGTGTGTGTCTGTGTGTGTGTGTGTCTGTGTGTTTGTGTTTGGATGGACAGCCTCCCAGCAGCCTGTTTCTCTCTCTGGCAGCTGTTCCAACCAGAGACCTCCGTATGAATATTCATGAAGAACCAAATCCCAGATCCTGCAGCTGGACACACACACACACACACACACACACACACACACACACACACACACACACACACACACACACACACACACACACACACACACACACACACACACACACACACACATTGATGTTCACATGCTCTTAAATTTTCTCATCATCCCAAAGAAAAACAAACACGACACAGTCCTCGCTCTGCTTCCTGGTCCTCGCTCTGGTTCCTGGTCCTCGCTCTGGTTCCTGGTCCTCGCTCTGGTTCCTGTTCACAGACAATGCTAACAGAATCATGTCGGCAGAGTTGATCAATAATTTCTCTGACCTCGACTTACATCCAGTTCACAAACACACGTCAGGAACACGCCCAAATAAAACCAGGATTTCACGCCATCGCCGGATTCCTGAACATGATTGGAGCCGTAGATTTGACCACATCGTCATAAAAGAACCTTCACACGATAAATTCAGTTTAGTCAACAGGAAAGGATTTCAGTCAATCAATGATCAATAATCTGAGACGATCGTATGGATCATCTGTGAGTGTTCACCTCCATGATTTCAGCGAGGGGGAAAAAATCCAATCAGGCGTTTCTAAAGGGATTGTTGATACCATATATGGTCAGTTGGAGGCGTGTCTGAATGTTAATGACCCTAACCATGAACGAGCTCGCCAGGAAAGAACAGGCGGATTCATCATCACCGATCACTGACTCGATCGTACGACCGTGTCCGCAGGTTTGAGAAAAACAGAGTTTTTTCTTCTTATTCGACGTTTTATTCCTACGACAGAATCTAGAACCTTTTCTACGATAAACCAGGAACCTGGTCTGGATGAGGATCTGGTTCAGACCGTCCCTCTGCTGTTCTGACCCTGCTCTGATTTAGACCGCACAGTAAAGGAGGGTCTGAGTGTCTGAATCAGGATCCTGATCAGTGACAAAACAGAGTCTCCATTCAGGACCCCCATCATACTGTCCTTGTAGACCCTCTCCCTGACCCGGTGCTGGACTTTCAGGATCAGCTGGCTGTGTTTTGTGTTTGCAGGTCTGTGGTTCTGGGTCTTCCTGTGTTTCTCAGTCCGGACACATGTTGCTCATCAGCTCAGACTCTCAGTCTGTTTATGTCCAAAGCACTGATGCTAACTTCCCCCCAGACCCTCCTCCTCCTCCTCCTCCTCCTCCTCCTCCTCCTCCTCCTCCCCCCCTCATGATGAAGAGGATGTTTAAAGCAGAGACACTCAGGCATTCAGCCTGAAACCACCCACACTCCGCTTAGGTCGGACCTCCGACCTCCACCTTCATCCTGATGGTCTCCTAAAAGGTCGTATCCTCCGATCGTAGCTGATCGTAACCATTCAAGTTAACGTGTCAATTTACACCGACTTCTTTCCGTTCCTCTGCGGATCGCCGGACTCCTCAGCTGATCACAAGAGTTCTATTTTTTCTGGACGCCGGAGCATGGCGGATAAATTCAGCACAGATTAACCCGTGCTGGAAAGGAAGTCGGGCACAGACACAAAATAAAACATCCGGCTTCTTTTCAAAATAAAACACTCCGTGTTTCAGGAGGATCGTATTTCACACCATGCAAACGGGCGGAGACGAACAAGTGAAAGGTTTTTAGACGTCATTTCACCCCGATGACACCATGGATGAGGAGATGCTGATTCTAGAAGTCTAGAAGTAGATTTCCTCCTCTGGAAGGACACAATCTACTGCTTATATGTCTATGTGTCTGTCTTTAGAGAGACGACTCTTCATCATATTGAATGTAACGTCTGTAATCCGCCACAAAATTCGCCTCACTAACGGATCCGGTAGGAACTGGCGGACGGTGAAAATCGCCGCCGTTCCAGATCGCAGCTGTTCTGGATGCGGTGAAGATTGGAGGTTCCTCTGACCGCAGGTCGAATACTTCAGCGTTCTCCGCAGTCAGGCTTGGATCCACATTTGGACAGAGTTCTCGAACTGCTCCAGCTTGTGGTTGTTGGATGTCCTTCACAGTTGCTCGTACCATCTCTAATCTGATCTCATATTTCATTTAAGTGTCTTGTAGCTCCGCCTCTTTGTGCGCCGCTGAGATCATGCTCGTGATGATTGATCCTTCTCGCTCCTGTTCCTCTCTTTGTTTCTTTCTGACATGGTGAAACTTTATTAAAGTGAAGACAAAGGGAGGGTAGAAGAGGCCAAATGACCACGGAGAAGGTCTGGAGGCAGACGTTCACGTCTGCTCCATCAGGGTCCACTCAGACTGAGGGTCAACTCCTAGTCCAGGATCTGGTTCAGGTGATCCGTGGAGATCTTTAATCTTTTTCTTCAGTTTCTCTTTTTCTCATATAACCTGAGTGTAACATCACTCTTCTACCCCTCACCTCCTCCTCCTCCTCCTCCTTCCTTCTGGCCTGGACAGACTAGAAGAGAAGGCCTGAAGGAGCAAGGGGAGGAGGAGGAGGAGGAGGCGCAGCAGCCATGTGTTTCTCATTAAAGGCAGCGGAAATAAGTGCTGACCCGTTCGCTCAGGAGGGCAGATCCATTTAGAGCTGCAGAGTCCACAATCAGAGGTGGACCCAGAGCGGGGCTGGGGGGGGGGATAAAAAGACAGGAGGGAGAAAAGAAGAGACAGAAGACAAGGAGGCTGAAGAGAGGAGTAACAGGGGGGACATTTAAGGTGGTCTGGAGGCGTTCAGCAGCTCCTTAAAGGGATATTCCAGCATGAAACTAAGTCATGGTCAAACCCACCGTAACCCCGAGTTAGACCCCGCCTCCAGAGATGAATGTTGTCGACCGCTTGCTTCTCTAGTTATACCAACTTTAGTAACGACCGCAGGATAGAAATACAGAGAGACACGCCCCCAACCAAAACGCCACTCTATAGCCACCAATAATGCTCAGAACAGCACCTAACTTCATCAACAGGACATATAGGGTCACAGACATAGTACTAGCCACCAAACATCTTTTTAACTTTGACTCATTTCTTTAGCAAAGAGACTAAACACAACTCACCTACTCTCTTCCAGCAGCTGCTTGTTTGTAGAGAGACCTCAGGCCAGTCCATTACAGACTACAGCGGGGTGCCGCAGCTCAAGGAAGAACATTTATGATCATTTCTTTATCGTTTCCTTGAAGTAATAATCATCATATTAATCATTTTACAGAAGCGGTAGTTCTTCTGCGTCTCGGTCTGATTGTATTTCCATGAAGAAATGATGAACATGAATCATCCGAAAACCCAGATCCATCAGATCCATCAGATCCACATATGGAGGAGGGGGGGGCGGGGCGGTGAGTGATGGCGTCCCTTCGCCCCACTTCCTCCCGCAGCATCCTTCATCGTCCTCACCCCCCTGCAGTGTTCATCACTCTCGTCCACACTCAGGTCACACATTAGAGCGCACACAAACACACTCACACAAACACACAGACACACACATTCACACTCACTCACACACACACAAACACACACACTCACTCACTCACTCACACAAACACACTCACTCACACACTCACTCACACTCACACACTCACAGATTTACACAAAGTTCTTGATCGTTTTTTAAAGTTTTTTAAAGTTCTCGTCCTGGAGGGTCCGGTCTGTTCTCAGCTCCCAGTCCAAGTTCAGAATCCCTGATGGTCTGGGGATCCTCATAGTCCAGGTCCTGGGTATCTTCCATTAATGCTGAACCAGATCTCCAGGTTCAGGACCAACAATCTGGGTCCATCCAGACCAGGACTCCTTCAGGGAAGATCTTTAGATGATCCCACCCCTACAAATCCTGGACCCCTAAGAAAACCTCAGACTAACCCAGGAGGGACAGCAGGTCCTGGGTTCAGGGTCAGCTCTCTCTCTCTCTCTCTCTCTCCTGAACTACTGGAGCCTGTAAGGGTCAAAAATACTCTGGACTGGTTATCAGAGAGACCCGTTCATGGTTTACAGATGACCCCCTTTAAAGAGCAGACAGTGGTGGGAACAGGAGGACTGGAGGACCTCAGGCTGCCCCCCCGTCCCTCTCTGTGTGGATTAAAGGTTCTGCTGTATTACCCATAATTCACCAGCAGAGGGCAGCATGACTCTGTGGTTCTGAAGGTCTGGCTCTGACTCGTCTCCTCAGTTTGAGACTCCAGACTTGATCTCAGACGTGGTCTCTTCTGGTCTCTTCTGGTCTCTCGTGGTCGCTCTGATCAGCAGGAAGTGGATCTTCATTTCAGCGCCGCTCAGCTGACAGGAAACCACGACGGCGGCTCCTGCCCGTCATATCTGCGGTCAGTGGGATCACAGTGAGTCTGTGAGTTTCTCTGCCGTGTGTCTGAGGTTCAAACCCCGCCCCCCACCAGGCCGCTGTGGTCGATGAAGACATTAAAGGCGGCGCTGAGCGCATCAAGAGGATTTGTGAGGATCTCTCCCCCAGAAGGAGCAGATTTGGCGGCGCGGGCCCCTGACAGCAGCACATGTTGTGGGAAGATAGCGAGCGGCGGCGGCGGCACACAAAGGCGGCCCTGAGCCGAGCCCAACGGTGAGAGGCTCCCCGGCAATCGCTGCCAACCTCAGCCGCCTTGGCGCTGTCGCCCCACGTTAGTCACACCGCAGGAGATGGGGCCCAGCCGCCGAGGGCCACAAAGGGCCACAAAGGGCCATAATGGACCCTCTGACTGCAGCGCCACAGAAAAGCTCCTGTCTGAACCCCCCCAGAAGAAGAAGAAGAAGAAGAAGAAGAACTTTATTGATCCCTGAAGGGAAATTCAATCGTCTGTCGTCTCCATAAAACGTCTCTAAAGTTTTCTGTTATTTACAGAAGAGTTCTAAAGTCTGATGGTCCAAAGATCTTCTGAATCTTTCTGTCCTTCAGTGAAGAGAGAGGAGCCGTCCACCACCATCGGTCCTGTGGTCCATCAAGGTGTTGTGAAGTGGGTGATCCATGTTCTTTAGAGTAGACTCCACCTTCATCAGTGTAGATCTCTCCACCACATCCTCCACAGAGTCCAGCCTCGTTCACCAGTTTGTTCAGACGTCTCCATCTTTGTGTTTGATGCAGCGTAGAACAGAACACTGTAGATCTACACCACAGACTGATCAAACATCTGAAGCATCTAACTACAGACGTCTATGATCGGAGTCTTCTCAGGCTAAAGAGGCGGATGAAGTCTAGATTCTTAGACCAGTCCAACTTATTATCCAGATCTACACCGAGATATTTATGTCACCACTTAGATGTCCACTCCACAGGTGTTCAATTATGATTATTAATATGTTCAGATAAATATAATGAGATATTATTATTATTATTATTATTATTATATTCAGATAAATATGAGATATTATTATTATTATTATTATTATCAGTTTGATTATTGAACTCTAAAATATAGGAAACCATCAAAAAGTGTTTTTAATATTTTTGTTAAACACATCTGAAGCTTTTGATGTGCATCGCTGTGATTGGCTGAGTGTTCGTCCAATCAGGAGGCAGTTCTGTGACATCGAACAAAGCTGCTGACGAGCTTCTGATCAATCACCTCCAGGTTTTAATTAATGCAGCAATCCCATTGGATCCAGCCCAGATGTGTGTGTGTGTGTGTGTGTGTGTGTGTCTCCAGTGTGTGTGTGTGTGTGTGTGTTTGTGTGTGTGTGTCTCCAGCTGGGTGTGCAGACTCTCTGTTTTTACGTGAACAGCTGGTGGGTCTCCTCTGTTGTTTTCAGGTTGTGTTCGGGGGGAGACTGCACATCTGTTTGAGTGTGTGTGTGTGTGTGTGTGTGTGTGTGTGTGTGTGTGTGTGTGTTCAGGTGAATTCGCTCCATTATAAACACAACGAGTCGATTAAAGTCTCCGTCTGTCTCTCGGTGCCCGTTTGAGTCTTGGTGTTGAACTCTTCGCCCTCCTCTTCCTCTCTCGCTGTTTCAAACTTCCTGTCAGCGTCATAGATTTGATGTGACGCTCTGGTGTTTTTTCACTCGTGTGTCTGTGTGTCTGTGTGTGTGTGTGTGTGTGTCTGTGTGTGTGACGTGTTGTTGAAGGAACCGTCACAGCTTCATACATGAGCCTCTGAGTGATTGAGCACCATGACGTCAAACTCGTGTTTCAGCCTTTAAAAAGATGAGCATTATTCCTTTATGAAGACTCCTCCTTCATTCATTCATTCATTCATTCATTCATTCATTCATCGATGTCCTCACACCGACTCTCTAACAGGTTCAGTCTTTGTTGGTTTGATAAAACAGCTGTTTCATGTTCCCTCTTTAACCTCGGAGGGAAACTCGGGTTTGAGACGTTTCTCCACAGAAGTCACCTGTTATGATGTCATCATTCACCTGGAAAGTTCCTGGTACCTGCACAGCTCTGTTCACCAAGAGTAACCCCCCAATTTTCATCCAGAGCGGCACCGATCTGAAATGGCTCTGAGCTCTGTCGTCTGCCAGTTCCTACAGGATCCGGTTCGTGAGGAGAATTTCGTGAAGGATAACAGACAGAAGGAATCAGGAGAACTCCCAAGAACCTGCAGATTCACGTTCAATCACACGATAACGAGTTGTCTCTCTAAAGACAGACACATAGACATATAAGCAGTAGATTGTGTCCTTCCAGAGGAGGAAATCTACTTCTAGACTTCTAGAATCAGCATCTCCTCATCCATGGTGTCATCGGGGTGAAATGACGTCTAAAAACCTTTCACTTGTTCGTCTCCGCCCGTTTTGAAAGAAGTCGGTGTAAATCGACACGTTAACTTGAATGGTTACGATCAGCTACGATCGGAGGATACGACCTTTTAGGAGACGATCAGGATGAAGGTGGAGGTCGGGGGTAAAATCACCGACAATGAGGGGAAAGTGCAGAAACACAGAGCGGACTTCGTAAACCAGGTCAGAGCAGAAAGACGAGTTCAGATTCAGGTTTTTTTTTTAAAACCTGCAGCAACAAACAAAAAACGATCGGAGACGATTTTCATACGAGAACAGAAGTAAAAAAAAAACAGAGTGTTACTTTCAGACACCGAACAGATCTGAGTTTTCAGTAAAAAGAAAAAAAGTCAGTCTGAAGGTCCGAGACTTTCCTCATCCTCTCATTTACGGTCCCTTAATTCATGTGTTTCTGTGTCCTCTAAATAGAACCTAAAAAATACTTCAGTGCACCTTTTTGAAGGTCAGAGCAGAACAAAGAACCCTCCAAAATAAAAGCTGCTGAATTTAAAAAAAGAGGACAGGAAGTCAAAAATTATAATTTCAAAGTAAAAGAAAATCAAAAACCTGAAAATTTGAATTAAAGACAAAAATTATTAAAGTTAGAAAAAACAAAGAGAGGAGGAGTGACCCCGAAAAACAAAGATCTTCTATTCTGTTCAGAGCGCTCACACCGTCTGAAATATCAGGAGGAGGTACGGGGGGGTTGGGAGGGTGTGTGTGTGTGTGTGTGTAGGGGGGGGGGACCAGCATATGCCCGGCCCCGCTGACAGCTTGCCTACGTTCCCCATCATCTCGCCCGGAGGCGCCGTCTCCTTCTTCTTCTCTGTCCTCTTCTTCTTCTTCTTCTTCTGAAAGACGGCAGAGTATTTTTTGGGCGCCCAGTCAGGTTGGGTCCTGGTGAAACCTGCGTGTGCGTGGGCAACCTGCTGCTGCCGAGGGAAGGCATGAGCGTGTGTGTGTGTGTGTGTGTGTGTGTGTGTGTGTGTGTGTGTGTGTGTGTGTGTGTGTGTGTGTGAGCCTGGTTTAGATATGTAAGACAGCAGAAGAAGAAGGAGATGGAGAAGAATGTGAGGAGCTCCTCTCTTGTGGAGGTCGACCTCTGACCTCTTCGCTGCGTTCCCTTCAGCGCTCACCAGATATTTTCGTGAGATTGTATAATGTGAAACTTTCTGCTGGGCTGGATCCATAAAGACACACACACGCACACACACACACACGCACACACTCTCTCTCTCTCTCTGGTATCTTGTTGTTTTTGGTGAATCTGCTGAAAGGATGATCCTGCTCTCTGTCTCTCTGTAGGTTCGTTCGTTCGTGGACATACTGAGACAGAATCAGGGGACACATTAGACCCATTTAGGAAAGTCTGGTCTGTCTGTTAAAGGTGTTGTAGTTCAGGATCTGAGGAGGTTCCAGTTTTTAATCTTGAATGTAAACTCGACCCCTCCAACCAGTTTTCCCCTCAGCTCCTCCCCTCCCTCTCTTAAGCCCCGCCCACAAACAGACGCTCCTGCTCGCTCGTATCGTTCCAATTAAATTCAGATATAATGCAGATAAATCCTTCAGATCATTACAAATGGGGCCCAGTCAAGGTGAAAGTCAAAAGCATTGATGCTACTGTAGATGCCAACAGAATACCAGCAAACACAATGTTTGCAGGACTTCTACAACGAGGATAAAGTGACATAGTCCAGGACCCGAGGGAGGACAGTTTAGCGATGGCGCTACAACACGCTACAGCAGGTCCGTTTGACAAGAAACACTTCTGTTACAGACACTTGTCTTACTTTGTTAAAGCGGTTTACCTGTCCAGCAGAAAGGTTACAGGGTCACCAAGATCCCCAAGCGTCCCCCATGGTTTATGTTGACCCGTCTTTTTAGCTCTTGTCCGGTCTACCTCCGTTTTAAGCGCCCGTTATTCCTCCAGAGTCTCCGGTATTTACTTTGTTTTCTTGCTTGTGTCGGCAGT